CAAGATTTTGATACTGAAATAGTAAAACAACTGGATGGGCCATTGCGTGAAACTGTTTTGGATCCAATAACTAAATTTTCTACTTATTTTAAAGAAATTGATGAAGCAATGAAAAAAAGGGAACATAAGAAACAAGATTTTGATGCGGCTAAGGCAAAAGTTCGTCGTTTAATCGATAAACCTGCAAAGGACGCTTCGAAGTTACCAAGAGCTGAAAAGGAATTGGAAACAGTAAGACAAGTTTATGAACACTTGAATGATCAATTGAAAACAGAGTTACCTCATTTGACCGCATTAAGAGTGCCCTATTTTGATCCAAGTTTTGAAGCTCTCGTAAAAATTCAATTGAGATTCTGTACCGATGGCTATACAAGGTTATCACAGGTACAACAATATTTGGATCAAAGATCTAGAGATGATTATGCAAATGGTGTTTTGGATGATAGAATACAGGGTATAATTCAACAAATGCATGCTTTAGATATATGTGCCCTTGGGTTTAAATAAAATATTTATCATTTGTTTCTAAAATGAATACCCACATTTTATAATCTTAAATATATGTGTGTAAATTATTGTATCTTTAAAAGGGGTATTCCATTGGGTTTGATTAGGTTTTTCTTTCATAACAAATGGAAGGCGTGATGGTCTTTTAATACCACCATAACTATCGTTAATTAATGAAATTTGATATTTCGAATATTTATAAGTATGCTTATGCTTCGTAATTAAATAATGCAATTATTATATAAGATGTATGCTTCAAACACTGCCAATAAATTCACTGACAATGATTATGGAGTGCGGTGAAATATGAGGAACTAGAATCACTTGATTATAGAGCATGGCTTTCGTGACAACATTTTATTTCACGACCCCATTCAGAATTCAATATTTGTTTACCATTGATTCTTCTTTGAGGGGATGGATCAAGAGTTGCATATATCACGTTCCTACAGATTGATCTCTTGATCGCTTTAACTGGCTCGAATATATCCTTATCTTTACGACCTTTATAATAACGACGATAAAATTCGTCTGTCTTTTCAGCAGTTCCCCAAAGCTGTCTGCCAGATCTCATAGCCATATAAATAACACCACATGCCCATATATCTACGGGACGAGGGTCGAACTCTTTTAATGTAAATACTTCAGGTGCTATATATGGACTCGAGCCACAAATTCCACTGCTCAAATGGATATCATTTTCCCATGCCATCTTGAAACATTCACTATTCCCAAAATCTGTAATTTTTAAAACACCATCGAATGTTAATAATAAATTCTCTGGTTTTAAATCTCTATGGCAAACGCCCATATCATGCATATATACTACACCTCTTATTAACTGTTTGAAGAAGCAGTCTGCCTCTGGTATCTCAAGTTTACCGGCGGCAATAATAAGTGTGAATAAATCACCACCTGAGCAATACTCTAAAACTTCTGAATACTCACCTTTTGCATCCTGAAATAAATCATATGCAGTGATGATATTTGAATGCTTCAATGAAGATGAAATGCAAAATTCCGATATCAGTCTTTTAGAATAGACTTCTCCCGATTCAGAAGAATATTTATTAAATTCTTTTACAGCATATAATGTTTCTGATTTCAGATTTTTTTGATCTTTTTTATGACATAATCTTACTGTACCAAAGGCACCCTTACCAATAACTTCTTGGCAACGGCCATATTTTTCAGCGAATGATAATGAATCATTGTTTAAATTGAATGAGGCTAGAATATCGTCATATTCTTGATTATGATTTGAATTATATATAACTTTCTTCTCATCGTATGTTGCACCACTTATTGTAGGGATTTCAGTGTCTGATTCTTTTACAATTCTTATCAATCCTGAAAACAACGTAGGTGGATCACCTTGCATAGGATTTTTAGTATCTAACAAAATTTCAGGAACGGCAGACTTTGCTTGTGCTTTGATCTTTTCTGTTCCCATTATACCTTTCAACATATTACGTAACTTTTCTTGTCTTACAGCAGCCTTTAAATTGTGAACATGTGTTCCATCTTCAAATAAAGTGAATCTCCCAGAAGGAAGATGGGAATTCATGGAATTTAGTGTCACATTAGTAGAACTGCTAGACTCGCCACCATTATTAAAACTGGTCGTTGAGTTAAAAGATGTGATACTAGCTACTGAACTTGCAGCTGTGCCTGAAGTGCTTCTAGGATTGATACTACTTGGATTATTGTAACCTGAGTTAGGAGGTTGGTTTGATAGCGATAAACCTGATAAGGAAGATAATAATGAAGTAGAAGAAGTAGATGATTGTGTGATATTTAAATGTTGTTTTGTAGTATTTTCATTCGATTGAATGGATGTGTTCTTTAAAATTACATTTGCATTAAAACTTGACTCTGAGATATGGTGTGACAATTGTTGTTGGTTTGACTTGATAGAAGAGGTTCTTGAAACGTTTGTTGAAGAGCCTGGAGTTTTATTTGATGGTTTCTGTAATTTCACGGAATTACCTCTAGAAGGTTGGGAAGACGGTATTGAATTTTTATTCTCATCATCATTTGAAACCCCACCAAAAATTTTAATGAATTTCTTGGGTAATGTATTTTTTCTTGATACTGAAGCTGAATTGCTTTCACCCATTTATTTGTAATCCAAAATAACAGAAATTAATAATAATAAAAGGTATCAATTACAATCAATTAATATTGATAGTAGTAAAAAAGTTGGAATTGTAGAATTGATATAAACCCAAAACAAAAAATTAGGAAAACGGAGGAAGAAGAAGCCTATATATATGTATGAATATGTATGCTTGTGATTGCTAATTTGAGTCTATGTCTGTTTTCGTGTTTGTATGTGTGCTAGAGTCTGTTTCTGTATATGTCTATATATATACGCTATAATTTTAATAGAAACCCAATTCTAATCGAAAATAATTTCCTCCTTTTAACAAACCTTCTAACGGTCACAACAATCAATCTTGTGGTCTTGATAGTGGGAAAAAAATGAGATTTCAATTGATGATATAATTATAATGTTTAGACAATATTCATCCAGAATATATATTTAGAATGATTGCTTCATTGCATTGTCATTGCATGATAATTTTCATTAAAATCTAATCGAAACTGACAAAGAGAGTGAAAAAGAACGAAAGATAAAAAAAAAAAAGAAATTTCGAAATTACGAAATTTCGAAAAAATATCTCTCTGGCTGTCGATGACGTCATAGGCTGGTGGTGATTAGCAAAGAGTGGTCTTGCTTTCTGACTGGTCGAGAATATTGGATAAGCAGTATGGTTTATGTTGACATAAGATGAATGATAATAGTGATGATATTCAATTCCGAATAGGAGAGTGGTATCCTAAACTTTTTAAATTGACTGCTTGTACAAACGGAAACAGCAATCGGTCGATCGATTTCTTTCTTTCAGGTTGGATGAATATATGTGGATTGGGTAGAGTAGGTAGGCTTAGGTAGGGGAAAGGGGGATGAACATATTGTGATTGTAACCAGATGGGGCATTAGAAAACTTATTTTGTCTTCCAATAATTGTTAAGATACATTGCTTTATTCCTATTCTTAATCGTAATTTTAAAATTTACCATCAGCTTGTAATCATAGTTCAGTTAGTCTTGATTTATATACACACATCAATCCAAATATTGGTGTTAGCCTTATTTGGTAAGTTGAAGGGATTGCAGCGCTGTGAATCAATTTCTTCAAACCTTTCACTCGTAATTTAGAGATATCTATGAGAATCTTTCTAATGCCCCCACCAATTATGGAGTTGCATTACGTGGGAAGGTGTCTATCTTTATTAATCCAATTGGAAGTAGTAGAATAAAAATTTCTATATAGCCATATATATATATATATATATAAGTGTATGGTTTGCTATTCTTGTATGACAGTCAATTGATGATCTATCTCATAATACATTGGTATCAGCAGAATAATCATTTGGTCACAAGTATGTATGTGTATCTCATACCCTAGTTGTGACCCAGTTGCTTTGACTGGAGACACCTTCATTGATAAGTTGTGGTAGAATGATGCATATACATTTCAGGTATAATTCAAGATAAGATACTCCAAATCTAAGTACCTAGTTCAGTTTGCGTATTAGACTGCCAAAAAGGAAATAAAAATAAAAATAAACGACCCCGGAGAGGATTGAACTCTCGATCTTGCGATTAACAGTCGCACGCCTTAACCAGCTTGGCCACGGAGTCCTTTAATTGCTGAAGTTTTTTGAAAGGAGTTAGAATAAGAATGTGATAATCAGATAGGTCCGGGTTACAAGATAATAGTGTCACAATAAGGAAGATTAGACACAGAGGGAAGTGAATAAATAGCTGAAGGATTAGAACATAAATAAGTACATTAGTTACGCCTTATATGGAGTGTCATTTTATATGTAAGAAGACAACTTAATTTTTTATATCTAAATAGCAACTCTATACATAGTTAGTTAATATACTTGTTTATGATCTACCTTCTCTATTTATATACTTTCTTTTATTGACTCACTTTATCTTTTTGTGAGACTCATTATTTCATAACCCAGACCTATCAGATTATCACATTCGTATTCTAACTCCTTACGACATCTCCTAACTCATTAAGACATGTTTTTGACTAGTAATAATATAAGTCCTGATATGATCCTCACTGGATTGTATTAATCCAAGTGTATTCCAACACAAATTATTGGGATATAATGATAAAAGCACATGCTAGACAAAGAATATTTATAAGCTCAACAGAGCATATAAAAAGGAGATGAGTGAAGACAATGAATCTTCATATTGTTATATTATAAAATAGGAAAAAAAAAGAACAACCGATAATTTTATTTTATATGTATATATAAATATATAATATAATAACCTATTCCACATAACGTATTTTATTGATTGCTATTCTACACGATATTGTTCTGGCGAATATTAGTCTCATTAAATAAAATATCGTCGGTTAAAACAATACAGGATCTTGTTGTAACCTAAAATGTATGGTTCACACTAATGGGTTTCAAGGTTATGGCAATAAAGGTTATGGCAGTAAAGGTTATGACAGTAAAGGTTATGACACGTTGCAATTGTTCGATCGCAAATGTCATACTCGACCTTCTAAGTAATTGCCAAATCATATCATAAGAAGTGAAGTGCAAAGGCATCATAATTTATTATCATAAATAAATAATATTAAGATTATGAGATTGGATCTAAACATATAAAAAGGCATGACATTTTGGTACATCTAAAATATTGTTTATCTAAAATATTAATATATATTTATTTAGTTACATTTATAAGACACGACGGAGAAATAAATATAAATATTATATTAAAAACATCTTGTATCAATCACCAAAATGAATCAATCAGATATTACTTTTACATCTGAACAGATCTCCATTATAAATTGGACATGATTCTATGTTCCCTGTCGTATATACTCTAGCATCCCTAGGATGTTATTTCATTGACTTCAGGTTGTGTTTCTCGCCTGCTGAGCAAAACTATGGTTGTGAAGTGCAAGAACTATTTGCTCTCTTTCCATAAAATTCGCATCTGCTATTACTAGCTTGTTATGTTCCAAAGCCTGTCTGATAGCCCATGGTTTATTATGTGTACTGATATGGGCAGTTTTAGTGAAGGCAATTTCAGCTGGTGCATATACATACATCATTCGTGTGTTATTGACTAAGTTGGTAGCAGTATATAGGTTAACTGACCATCGGAGTATGATAGGAGCCATTTTTAGTAAAAATGATTTCAGTGTTTTTATAGTACGTTCAGCCTTGCTGTTGCCACAGGGCTGTAGACAGAACTCTGGATATATTTGATTTTTAGGTGGTTAATTTCATCTGCAATCGTATGAGATGTAGCACTTGCTACATTATTGGTAATGTTTGTTCGTGGTTTGCCAAACATTCTATATTTTCTCAGGATCATTTTACAAACCGCATCACTGTTTGGAGAGATTAGAGGTGTAGTATCTGTAAAATTGGAAGTATAGTCAACGGCAATAATGAAGTATCGAAATTCGTCATCTATTGGGAAAAGACCTGCAAAATCTAAATGCCAGGTTGTTAATACAGGAATAGGCTTAAAATTTGGTAATTCAACCGGAAGATCTTTAAAACTTTGATAAGTCTCGCAATTCTTACAATTGCGTATGGTGTCGAGTAGTAACAAAGGAGCATTGGGATTCCATAATTTTTGTTGATTCATCAATTGTTGTAAAACACGATGGTTGGCATGGAAAAGTTGGTGTATCTTTTCAGCATGTTGTAAAAAATCATCATCTGTGATTATGTGGAAAAGTTTTGAAGGAGGGAGAGGAGCTTTTTAATCAGGAATCTTTTCTGAGCTGGTTGAGATAAGGACATGATGAAGGCATTCTGTTGAATATTAGGAGAATCTGTGAGATTGATAATTTCTCCATTGACAGTGATATTGTCTGCGAATGGGGTAGTTTGGTAATATAATCCACGAAGCAAAGGTTTACCAAAAAGGATACCTTGTCTATTGTCAGGAAGTAAATAAAACCATTGGTTAAAAACAGTTGAGTGAACAGTGATTTGTAGGAGTATTTTGGTGTTAATAGTAAGTGGACTACCAGTCGCAGGTTTAACGATGAGTGGAGGACATGTTTCAATGTTAAGTTTGGTAAAAGTGAAGTGATGAATATTCAATTGAGATTTTTGCCATAAAGTGGAATAGGTAAAATTAGCATCGGCACCTGTATCTAAGATAATGGTTAGAGAAGTAGGATATGGGGCAGAAACGATATTATGTATATTCAAGGTCGTGTTATTGATTTCCGTGTCATTAACTTCTTCGTCTGAGTAAGATTGGGGATGTATTCATCCCAAGTAGTCCATTGGTTAGGATCATGTTCTGTATCGTCAACTTCTAGGTAAACATCTTCCGTCTAAATTTGTGGATTTGGGGTCGTATTCGTTTCGGTGTTGATCTCATTAATGAGCAGGTTGTTTTTCTTTGGAGAGTTTTGGTGGTCATTGTAGGAGCTTTTGTTCCTTTTATTTTGTAGAAATTTTGATAAGGTTTGTTGACAGTTTGAACATTTACATGATGAGCAGTAGCAGCTGATAGAGAAGGATAGTTTTGCGTTGGTAAGACACTTCTTGCAGGTGCAACGGGAGCAAAAGTATTTCTTGGTGCGACGATTATTGTAGTGAGAAGAAGGATTGTTGAAAGTAGTGTTGAAGATAGCCTTTGTGTGTGGTGTGTTAGAGACTGTATGGTGATGTGGCGTATGGTTTTCAATGAATTCCATAATGTCCTCAAAGTTTGTAATTGTAGATGGATTTAGACCAGGAGAATTGGGTAAATGGATCTTATAGAGGTGTTGAATCTTGTGTAGTGGGATTGGGAAAGCATTGTATCCTATAATAGTCATAGTTTCATGTGTGATTTGGATCATGTAGGCAAGTAAGTTAACATCTCAGGCAAAGGTTTCCCATCTATTAGTTGTTGAATTTTTGCAGCGTTTTGTCTTTCAAAAGCAATACCTTTATAAAAGGCAATAATTGAATCAGTCCAGATCAATAGTTCACCACGGGAATTTTTAACCATGTTGAGAGCAAGTCCAGAACAGCAAAAGGAAAGGAAAGCATTCCAATCTTGAAATCTGACCTTTTTTGATATTAAATTGGTTTTAATAGCAAGTAACTGTGTTGTTTTATCAACACGCGATCCAGTAGATATTAACATTTCAGGAGAACGGTTAATGTTTACTTCTGAATAGGATTTTGTACAGGATACTAAAATTGGATGGGTAGACTCTAATACAAGTTCAGGAACGTTTTTATGAATTTTTGTAATTATTTCTTTATTTTTATTAGCAATGTTTTTAGATGTATTTATGTTGGAGAGCGAATTCTTGAGTTGGGTGAGTTCATCACCTAGCTCAGCATAGCGATTGTAAAGATAGTAGAAGGATTTCTCTTCTATTGTGCTTGTTCAACTTTAGCAAATTCGATGGATGTTTGTATTTCAAATTCTTCAATTCTCGTAAAACTTTGGTTCATTAATTCGAACAAACTTTTAGTTGTTTCCGTCGTTTCATTTTTAAGATTAGTGGTTTCCTTTTGCAAAAGGTGGAATTTTTCGTCTAATCTTTTCTGATGAGTTTTATTTCCTTGTATTATTTTGTTATAATTCTATTCGTTCTTTTTGTCCATTTGTTCTGTTTTTTAGAGAATTTGCTTAAGGTTTATGAAGTCATTGTTAGCAATTTTTATTCTGTTTCTAAGTGAGCAAATAAGCTATTATATGATACATTCGATTGTGCTTATAAACCAAAATATATATATTCTTCTTTATCTAGCATGAGTTATAGTTATCATATTCAAACTTTAACTTAGTTGGCCTTTTTTACAAGTTTCTGTTTCCACAAGTTTGCAACCACTTCTAATATTTGCTGACGTTTCTTTTATCTTTAGTGTCAGATATGCTTTGTTACTCGATAGTTGTGGCCGCTCTGTGTTAGTTTGACTTATTATCCAAGAGGGATGTAATACAGGAATTTCACATATTTTTTCAGCATTCATTATTCACTTGCCAATACGTAAAACATGAGTGATTTTCGAGTTTTATCGAGAATTTAACGAGCATCGTTGTATTCGTGTTCGAGAATATATATTGGTTAGGTAGTTATTCGCAGACAAGATAACAAGTCACGTCACAAGATCTCGATACATGTTACTTAGAATATATAGCCACTGACAACAGATAAAACAGAAGTAAATAATGAACCCAAAGGAGATACCAACTGTTGTAAGGCAGATTGTGAAAAAGATAGGGTCAGTCAAACTTAGTTAGAGCCACATGGAAAGTACAGATCAAATTGCTGTCATCGGATATTTCATTATTCAACTAAAACTACTATGACAAGTGAATAAGAGCAGGACAAGCATAATTACTAGAAAGCTTTTCGAACATTCCAATAGTTCATTATCATCTAAAACTATTGAAGCTAGTTGTGATTAGCTCAAGTCATCTTTTTCCTCAAGTGAAAACATGGAGTATTTACCTGAGTTAGCGTCATTGATCTTTATCATTGCTCGGAAGTTATTGAGTAATGAAACTCTTAACCACTTTTGGTACATTTTCAAATTCTTAAGCTGTAAATTCAATCGAGATCTTGTGATCTACGTCTTTTAGTGAGCATAAGTAAGTTTTTTTGCCTTTGGACCAATAAAGATCAGCCGTATGGAATTGTTTGCCATTCCCTTCACCTCATGAGAAGCAGGAGGTCTAGCGGATAAGCGTCAGTATGATTAACAAATTTGTTTAGAATTTATATTTATACATAGAGTATTGTATTATAATATTACAAGCTAAATACCATTCGCAATTTCTGTCATATATTCAAAATTTTATTAATATATAATTTGGCTTGTAATTTTCTGATATATAGATAGAAACTGGGAAATAGGCACGTATATTTTATGTAAAACTTGCCGATCAAGAAAACTATTAAAAAACAGAATTCAAACATAAACTATTATCTCATCACCATTCAAGAGAGTGAATGTTGGTTTGACTAAAGGGTGTTCTTCAAATTTTTTTATACCCACCATATCTTTCGATGCTAGGTTTAAAAGTGATAGGAATGCGCTGGCGGCAATTCTTTTATCGACACTTAAAATTTCTCCAGGATTGGAATCTTGTGAAATTGAACTGGGAACTAAGCTTTCAAACAATATTTTTCTATTGTAAGGTCTAAAAGAATTGGTATTCTTTCCTGCAAATTCAGATCTTTCCTTTATGTAATCGTAAAATTTCTTAGTCTGAAAGTCCAGAATTTGTTGTTGTTCAAATCTATCCGCAATTCCCTGAGCTTCACTCTGGCTATCAGATTCCAATTCATCAAAATGAGAGGAAATATTGCTGTGGCTAGTAGATACCCTTTTGTTTGGTAGCATTCTTGTTTGAAGTATGTCTACAACATCATTGTCAGTACTTTGTATGGTTCCACTAGTTCTGGTATTGTTCCGGCCAAATGAAGATGGCGGCAACTCTAAGTTCATCTGCATATAATTATGAGTAGAAAAACTATTGTTATGTTCATCTAATTCTTCATTAATCTGTTCAAGATTTAGGATTAAGTTACTTTCGTCACCTTCATTATTTATAAATGAACCATCCCTTTCATTTGAAATTTTTCTTCCATGTTCCTCACTTGGTACACTATTAGATCTAGATAAGTAACTTAAAGATCTACTTCGTTTCCTTCCTCTTTCAACTGATTCGATGTCACTACCTTGACGTTTTAGTCTATTGAAACCTATTGGAAGAAAACTCAAATTGTTAAATTTTGGTATATTGTCTTCTAACAAATACTTCCAATTATCAATCAAGGTAGTTGCAATTAAAGAATTATCAAAGTATAGTTTAATATCATCAATATTCTTAAATTCTGTTCTATGTGTTTTTCTATTATTTTTTTTATGTCTTTCCATTTTATCGCAATAGTTACTAAAATTATCTCTTAACATATCTGTAGATAACCCAGTACGTTCATCATATTTGATATTGCTCCAATTATGTAAATAATGTGTCATATCATTCCTTGAATTATATATAGTTAGTTCTTTTTTGTTAAAATCGCCTGTTGATTCATCCTCCAAAGAAGCTTCTTCACTTTGATCTGAGATATTTTCTGCAGAGATACCTAAATCTATATTAGATATGTTGTTATTTCTATTTTCCTCATCTTCTTCATTTTCATCAAAATTTAAGTTAAACTCTCTATTATTATCTCTTAGTTCTATATGATCACTTGAACTCAGATCATGAGTTGAAGGAATTGAAGTACCATGCTGACTTATAATGTCGTCTATATCTAAATTGAAGTCTACATCTAATGGGATCTCATCCAAAGTTATTGGATTGTCTCTTGAAAATAAATCGAAGCGAGATAGAATTGGGTTATCCAAGTTATTTGAATTTGATAGTTCATTTAAAATATCCTGTCTCTTAATGATTGACCCGTTTGAATTATTTTTATCGGTACCTGAAATATTTGATGAATTATTTGAATTCTTTAAATTATTAATAGTAGAGTTTAAACCTAAAAAAATCTCTATATTTTTAACTTCATTGATATCGAATGTAGGGTCATCATTCAATAGATGGGTATTTTTCTTACCATTTGATTTTTTTTTGTTAGCATTATTATTTCCAATGTTATTATATGCACTGTCATTTGAATTAAGATTTGATTTTCTGATTAAAGTTTTATAATTATAAAATCTTTTATGCAATTGGGATAATAAAGAAGATAAATCATTTAGAACATATTCAGTTTTCCTATTATAACAAAGAGTTATTCCGTACAATAAATTTGAAACGTATCTTAGTGGTAAATCTAAGTCATTTTTTTCTATCACTTTACAAGTTTTTGGAATTGAGACATTAATGATGTCTTTCCTTTTCACTGTGTCGTTTGTATATCTGCCACCGGTAGTTGTGTTGGTGGTATTACTTGAATGATTATTGTTTGTTTTATTCACATTCCCATTCCCATTTCCATTTCCTTTATTACCAAAATTATGTAAATTTCTATTTGAGGTGTTACCTCCGCCCAAAATCGATAGTAGCCAAACGGTAGTGACACCTTCATTTAAAGGAGTGAACCCAATATTGTTATTCGAATTGTTTAAATTCTGGTATCTAGATATGTTCAATGGGTTTGACATGATTTCACTATAAAATTGCTAATCCACCTTTCCTCTTATTCTACGGTTAAATCTCTTTATATAATCTCTTGAACTTTTATTCTATAACAACTCTCTTTCTTTTCACAGAAAACTTCTTATATAGTATAAATATAAATATGTAAATATGCAAATATGTAAATATATATGTGTAAGTAAGTAGGTATGTAAATATGTATATATGTAATTTGATGTATTTATTTTTATTGCAATCTAATAAAACTAAGCCAATATGAGAGAAAAGAGAAAAGAACAAGAACAAGAATAAAAACTACAACCTTGGAAAGAGCTCACTTTATATACTTCCCAAGTTTATAATCGTCTCCCAGAGAAAGAAAGAAAAAAAGGGTAATTGAAAATTAAAATTAGGGGAGAGTATTATATTCTTGGACTTGCGTCACCGTCTGGATCTGTTGTAGATTGGCCATAGCCGCCCACCCGCGAAATCTCTCGGGGTCAAGTTTTTCGTTTCTTTTTTCTTAGTTTTCTCTTTTCTTATTTTTTCGTACACACATACTATTCTTGTATTTATGAAAAGGTTTGTTGGAATATTGCGCTAAAAGATGTTTTCAGGGTAAGTGTCACGTGAGGGATAAGAATGGTTAGTAGTTATACCTCAAATATTAGTCTTCACTTATTAGAGTGTGGGTTATCGATTTTGTGAGAAACAGATAAATATATAGTAATAAATATATATATAGTTATAAACTTGCTTGCTAAATGTCAGAGTAGAATCTTATCTTCTAGATCAATTGTTTCTGCTCAATTTAGTTAGTATATTGCCTTAGTCTTCTTTTTACAATTAACCATAAATTTAAGAATAGAAAGAATAATATTAGTGAATCCTAGTGTTAAGAGAAATTAAGGTTCCATTTTATATGTCCTTATTTTCACTATTATCTGATAATGACATTAAATTAAGTGTCATTCATTTCTGTTCATATTAACCCAATTTCATAAATTACATTCGGGTAAATCCTCTCATATTTATGTTCGGGTAAATAATCTCATTTTTCATGTATTAACAATCCATCATGTATGTCACACTATCATTATCATTATGTTGTATACATTGTACATTTTATATAATAATTAATATATGTAATATAATTAATATATGTAACTGCAAATGGATATATACACATATTATTATAGCATATCAAAAAACGAAGAGCTAGCATACGAATCTAGAGGATAAGATTCTAGCTCTTCGTTGTGAAAGCAAGATAGAAATTATATATTTACATATTTATCTATTTCCTACTAAATCGATAACCATTATTCTAATTATTTAGACAAATGCTTGAGGTATAAATACTAATTATACCTACCGCTCACCTAACACCTACCCTGGATATACCTTTTAAGCGCATTAATTCCTAAAACTTTTTCATAAGGTTATGATCTCTGTTGAACAAAGTTAGATTCAATTATATTAAAATAAATTAATTAGATAATGGAAAAGGATTTACGAAAATTAAAGATTCCGGTTAGGACTACAAACATTAGCTCCCCCAACACAGATAATTTATTAAACTCCGCAAATGACAAAGAAAATTTCTCATTTGGAAATCCAAAACTGTTCCTATGTGAACAAAATCAACCTTCTGCACTTTTGCTAAATTCAAACGAACAACAAGAGCATAAGCTTGATGATGAAATCTTTAATCAAATAAAGGTTAAATGTAAAAATTTGACTGCCATTAAACATAGATACAAAATAAAGGTAAAATTAGAAGGTAACTTAAGCTTAAGTGAAATAGCCGGTATATATAAATTTGGAAAATTCTGCATTTTCTGTGCAGATCACCCCATTAATATAAAAACACATAGATGTACCAAATAACAACTAGCTAGAGCATCCTTTTTAACTATTAATAAAAATACTACCTATAATCACGATATTTCTACAGATAAGAATAATCAAATAGATAGTAAATCATTAGCTATAATGATTCGTGCGAATAAATTAACTAAAGTTAAAATTGATGACTCTACTGAAATGCTAATTAATTCATTATCGGAAGAAGAATTAAATGATAAAATCAAATATACAGTAGACTCAAAGTCTACTATTGCTTTCTATTGTAAGAAGAATAATTTGACATTCACAATGGAAGATTCTTTAATTATAGATTCAGGTGCCACCCAAACCATTATTAGGAACAGGGAACTATTAAGAAATCTAAAACCCACTGAATTAAAGATAAGTGGAATGGACAGCGATTTTAAAGGATTAGAAATAGGTACTTTAATTTTAAAGTTTGACCTGGTCGTGGTATCTGGTTCCTTTACTAGGTTTCTTTTATTTCTACTTTTAGGGTTATTTGGTTTCTTTTGACGTTTACTATCATTATTATCTCCCTTATGAAAAGGCTTTAGGAATGAGTGCGCTTAAAAGTTATATCCAGGGTAAGTGTCAGGTGAGGAATAAAATAGGTATAGTAGTATTTATACCTCAAGTATTTGTCTAAATTATTAGAGTGTGACTTATCAATTTAGTAGGAAATAGATAAATAAGTGAATATATTATTATATCATATCTCAAAAGGAAGAGCTAGGATACGTATCTAGAAGATAAGATTCTAACTCTTCCTTTTGAGTTGTGTCTCCCTTTTTTTTACAATTACAATAAATTTAAAAGTGAAGAGAATTATAATAGCGAATCTTAATGTTGAGACAAATTAAGGTTCCTTTTATATTTCCTTGTTTTCATCTCTTTTCTGATAACGACACACAAACCAAGTGTCATTCATTTTATTTCTCATTATCTCCAATCTCATAAATTATGTTCCGGTAAATCTTTTTATATTTATGTTCGGGTAATAATCTTGAGATTTTTTCAATTATTAACAAATCCATCACATCAGGATATATCTCTAATGACGTCTCAAACAAAAATTGGAACATATTTCAATGGATCATCAGTTCAGCAAGAGTTAAAACATATAAATGTATAAATAGTTACAATTAACATCAATTTTCCATTCCAATATAAGAAAGGTATTTGAACAATTGGTTTTTACTTTCTTCTTCTCATATCATATGTCCCATTCTAATCTCTGTTTCAAAAGTTTTGTAATTTCACCTTGTATCGCAACAAGTAGGTATCGTTGGAGTCAGTAATAGGATAATTCAATTAAACGACAGAGAAAAAATCCTCCAATGATTACATCTATACGTTTATATATTTGTTCTCTTTTCTCTTTTCACTTCTCCTGTTTACCTCGTAATATGTCTGACGGTGTAGGGGAGACATCTCAGCATTGCAAGTTCAATTATTAATTGCAATTCTAAAACATGGTCAAGATCCATTTATGTACAATAAATATATAATGCTGTTTCTTAAATAATTGATTTTATTTGATCCTTGACATGTTTACTCTTTGTCTGTTGAAATTTCTTTAAGAATATTTATAATTAATGAAAGATTTTTATTATTGAAATTCTTCTTCGGGTGGTCCGAAAGTGATAGTTATAAGTACAAAATGTAAATATTACCAAGAGCATAAAGAATAATGATATTATGAGCAATACCTTTCTGGTTAAACAAATTTCATTGATTACGTTTGACTCGATACCTGAGTGTTTTACTGTATAATTAATTATCTACAATTAGCTTAATATATTATTTATTTTATTAAAATTATCTCTAAGATTGGTCCCTGAAGGACAGTAGCTTTACGATATTATTCTAATATTAAAACCACATCAAAATCAAAAGGCTATGAAAAATTCCATTATTTATACAATTGTTCTAAAAACATATCTTAATTATTATTTCGACTATGACTATAATTTAAGGGGAGTATTTAAACTCAAAATCAATATCAGCAAAACTTAGCTATACAGCTGATATTAGACATCTCAATTCTTGGGTGATAGAGGTGTCACTCACTATTGTCTTTCATCATTTACAAAACATATGCACTAAATTTTTTAAAATCAAACACCTATCATGTTCTTCTATAGTGTAAAGGTAGAACGGTAAAGATGTATATTGTGAGATGTTATTTAGAGACATCTAGAATCTAGTTTCATTTGACATACTGTAACCTATTTATTTAAAACTATTTTTTTGATATATCATAAAATTACTCTTCCATTTCTCAATAGTCTTACCAGAAATATATTCAGAGCTGTAATAGAATTCATATTTCTTGACTTTTTACTTGAACAAGGATTAGGTTACTGTATTTTTCTTACAAGTAGACAGACTATCATTTAAGATGTTCTCATTTGTTTGATCACTCCTCATAATAACACATTTTTCTATTTTTACTATGATGAATATATAGGACACCCAGTTGATACCAATGTTGCCCAGTTGAAGTGCTTTGGAAGTGATTCCCACCCATGCGGATAAATATTACTATAAAGCCAACATTTCACAATTAAGGTCTCATTGCTCCAAGGTAATGAAAAACAGATACTTGGACGAAGATTCTTTTTTAATAGATACTTTTTTAGTCCTAGATAGTAGAACTATGGAAGACTATAACCTAATCTATGTATTATGCCAAACGACTCAACCCCATTCCTTAATTCCGTATCAACCATCCTTTTAGGCGCTTATTCCCAGGGAAAGATAGCAATATTAAAAAAATATGCCAAAAACCGTATATCGTTAAATAAATATGTTTAAATTACCATATCATATATTAAATGAACTAATGGTGATGTAACTTTAGAGACATCATATATCCTAACCTATTTCACAATTTTTCTCTCAATATAATCCCCATATATTTTCAAAAGGAAATCTTACTCTGTCACTATACAGACACCTCTATTTGTGAATAGTCACGATAATAGTCTTTAACACAAATTAGAGACTTCCGGATATATCTGTTGACCTTTTCTCTCTTACTTATCTGAATATAGAATATTTATTGGCTTCAAGTCACTAAAGATTACAATTATGTTAAAAAGATATCTCTGTCGGGATTAGAGAAAGAACTGCAATTGATAATGAGGGGTTTCCATTTTACTTGTTGATCAAAATACCTCATAGTTGATAGTAGGATTTGAGTCTTATTGTGTACCTTGGTTCTGTTTACGGAAATTTTCTTGGCGCCCTCCTTAAGTTGCGACTTAGGGAATTTTAGCTTGTATCATTACTTTTAAAGAGCTGTTCGAATTTATAGATTGTTGTCAATATAAAAGTTGAAAATATAACTCAACTAAATTGCACAAATTACTTTAATAAAAGTTGGATAATAAATCTTATCCCTCAATTTTTATTTTTTGGAAATTTGAATAAATATATTTAATTTAATATAACGACAAGAAGGAGCCATGGTAGTGTTAAAAAGGAAAAAAATTCAGTAATATGTGTATGCCAGTTAGTTCAAAATTATAATTTTCATAATAATCCAACTGACCTCTTTAGTCCTTCGGAATATTTTTGCTTAGTATTCAAACGAAACGCAGACACTTTCCTCCTTGATCCTTCATTATTTAAAAGCAAAATTATGACTACTTAGCAGACTATAATGCAGTACAGTGCATTGCATTACATATATTACATTTGTTATAATGAATAAATGAGTGAATGAATAATTACATGAAAATACCTTTTAAATTGGGATACTTTTTGCGTTTACATGCTTTTTTGAGCTCCCTTAATATTTACCAGGCAGTCAATAAGTAAAAAAATAAATCATGCAATTGCACACTAATTTAACTCAAGATGTAGATAAATGTAAACAAAGTCTCCTTAATTATAATAGAAGGAAATATATACCGAACTGTTCAAGCAGTACTTTATGATGAAGTGTGAAAATAAATTATGAGAAAACAAGAGAGATTGAATACACGATGTGGTTTCAATTTAATCAAGCATCATTAATCAAGCATCATTAATCAAGCATCATTAATCATCAATCATTAAGGGTACACTGGTTGAATGCAGATTAGATTAGATTAGGTTAGATTAGATTAGAGTAGACTAGGCGAGGCTAGGTGAGACTAGTTTTTTATGACTAGAACAGCGTAATAAATTGTGAATTAAACTTGATCTTTAGTTTTACTATTCTTAGAAAAGGAAATCCATCTTACTTAATTGGCATGTTGATTGATAATTGATAAACCAAACCTTACTAAATTTCGCATGTAGTATCTGTGCGGACTGTTTTATCAATTAACCATCTCTAGTGCTGTAATGTAATGTAAGATACAATTGAAAAAGAACTAACTGGAACGGGTCTCTATGAAAAATTTCATATATATAAAAAAAAAAAAAAAAAAAAAAATTCTGCAAAATAAAATACAAATAAAGGTTCAGCCAGTTGAATGAAATATGACGACGGCAACAAGGACGGGGAGATCAACAACAACAGCATTCAGCTTATTTTAGTAACATTACTCTATCCATTTTGATATTGGATTCTATTCCCAAATCTTAATAATTTAAGTAGTGAATTGAATAAAAATTTTTTCTATTCTATCTTTTTTTTTGTATGTTACTAAGATGTTAGTAACGACAACCATATATATAAGTGGTCATTTACCTAAGAAAATACGGAGAGGAGACGCAAATAGGCAAATAATACGGTGTCTGTGCTTGTGTTTTATTATTTAGTTGTGTGCACAGGATAGGGTTAAGTGGAAAGTGGAAATACTTGGATAGTAAATTAACTAATTTCTTAGCTAGTATCTCTTTTAGAAGGGTTGTTACGATGGAGCAAGTGCTAGCATTTATATATTCTTTAAGCGATAAAATAAATATTTAGCCACTGGTTAGGCCTGGAGGCGCATAATTGATATGCTTATTTTTTTATTTTTAATAGGAAGATGAAAAGTAAAGAAACCGGCTAGGTTAAAAAATGAGATGCAACCCAGAGAGATACGCAACAACATAAACTGTCAAATTTATAAAAACTGAACTAAGATTCGAGAAATATCAGACAAAAAAAGCTTTACAAGCAAGACACACAGATACATACAACATTTGAATTAAAATCAACTGTTCACCATCTATCCTTCCAACCACAAGAATTGAATTCACTTGAACTGACGTTATAACAAATATTCATCTTAATCATCTAGTTCATAAAAATAAGATATACAACATGCACAGAGGAAAAGGTGTATAACAGCAATAAGATACTAAATGAGGGTTTACCTTATTTGATGCTATGTTACTTTAGTAAACCACCAGTTACGCATAAAAGTCAGTTGGTTAACATCATAAACATCAACATCAACATCCTCGATACAGTGCATGTACAAAAAGATTTCGACAACTATAAAAAATTTCCATTTGATAATTGCGGCAGTTGTCGTAACGAATTGTACATGGCATCAGGATATGAGGTAGACGGACGGACAGACAGACAGATTTCGAAAACAGAAAAATTAAATCGAAATGGTAATAGTCCCATAATATTTCTTGTGCGTAATGCTTATGTATGTTGTCGATAAGTTTCTCTTTGGGAATAATCTTTCTTTCTTTCTTTCTTTCTTTCTTTCAGATGTTCAGCCAAAACATAAACATACATATAAACATAAACATAAACACAAACATAAACATACATATAAACGTAAACATCAACATAATCATATAGACCATCCATATCTTGATGGGTCTTCCTTTCCCTGCCCTGCCTTGCCCTGCCTACCAACATATATCCCTTCTAATCCATATCCGCATCTGCATCCCCTACAACTGTAGCTCTGTGTTCCCTTCCCTGTCTCCCTCCCACTTTTTCCTACCCCCTCCCTAACTCCCCCCTCGCCCCCCTTCCAAGACCACCTCCGTCTTGTCGTCGCTCCTTCCAGCTGTCTGTTTTCCAGATACCAATTAGTACGAGATTCGACAACAACTCGCGGCGAGCGGTGGTGATGGCAGCAACAGCACTGGTAGAGTGGTAGTGGTGGCATCACAGTAGGTTTTGGCTTGGTTTGGTTCGAAGGAAAGAATCACATACACACACAGATACTTGGAAAAACACTGGTACAAGATTGCTACTACATTTAGAAACAAAACACTTATTTACGTACGGTTACTTACAACACAACATACATAATTGTGTGCGTTTGGTTTACAATAATTGTGATTTTTTTTTTAAAAAACTTACTTTTCTATTTATCAACCCAGTGAATTACGATACTATTACCAAACGCAATTGTAATTTATAGTAATATATTACAATTCCAATTGCCCATTTGAATTACATATCTGACATCAAAATAATTCAGATTTAAGTCCAAGTCCATTAATTAAGTCAATTCATCAATGGGTTGCTAATCGGCATATCTATCTACCACTAACTAACTTGATCTAATAAAAAATTAATAATCTGCTAAATTATTTGTAGATACTTAACTTAGACTATTTTACATCTTAATCAAAAGAATCAAGCAATTAATTTGGCAGACAGCGCTACAGTCGCCCCCCTCCCCCCATGCAACTTGTAAATGACAATTATTGGCATATTCAGGGAAAAAAGACACCAGTTATGCTGGTAATCTGTCCTGTCTGACTATCTGTCTATATCCTATATACTCTATTCTATCCCTTTGAGAAAAAAATCTTTGGTCAATCAATGCTTTTGGAATATAAATATATATCGACAAATTCTTTTGTTTTCCAATTAATCACTCCTCCTCTTATCTTTTCTTATATTAGAATTAAAATTTTAAATTTTAGACTTAAAAATTTAAATTTGAAATTAACAGTAATACCTCCATCATCCCTTGTGTTGTCATCGATCGTTGTTGTTGTTGTAACTTTTATCCACTTTCCAAAGTGTGTATGTATGTGTGTGTGTGTATGTGTGTCTCAATCAATCAATCGATCAATCAATCAGTCAACTAATCAACATATTAGATTTTTTTTTTTCCCTGTCTAAACCCCAGAAGAAGAGGAAGAAAAACAAGAAGAACACAGCAACAACATTGGAAAACTCTTATAATTTATCTTTTTACCCTTACGGTTTTTGCTTATTACGAACGATTGTTTGTCCAACAGGTAATTTTTTTTTTTATTTTAATGCTTGTAATTATTAAAAACTTGAATTATTAATTAAATTTAGTGTTTTCATTTTTATCTCCCATCTCCCCACCTACTGGGGTTTCTCCGTTGTTTCCCTTACCAGACGAAAAGCTTTCGAAGTATTTATAATTAAACTACTGTTATTACTGATACTATTACTGATACCACCACCGGCAGCCTTACTACGATGATTGCTCTTACTATTTGGGAGTTAAAAATTACTACTGGCAGAGAGAAAGAAAGAGAAAGAGAGCTCAGTAAAGAAAGTAATGGGTATTATAACAAATTTATAATAACAAGAACAATAAGTAGTTCTTTCGGTTAAAAAACATCCCAAGAAAGAAGGAAGAGGTTTCTCTATCCCATACATCATATCTTTCGAAACACTAATTAATTACTACCACTGCTAATAATATTAGTACTTACTCTTTACTACAGGATCTCGCATCGAAATCGAAACATTACAGGTTCGTTGTTTCGAAGGGGGTTGGGTTATTATTGAAAAAGGAAAAAAAATATAAATAGGCGAAGGAATAATTAACACCTAGCTATATTTAATCGATTGATATTTAAAAACAAGGCATTTTTCAATTAATTATCTTAATTTTTTTTTTCAGTCCTTTAAAAATCACATATTAAGGCAAAGCTCAATTCGAGATTTGAATTTTTTAAATTTTTTCTTCTCTTCTTTATTTTGTTTTATTATTCATTATTTATTGTTTCTTTAATTAAGTTCATTCGCAGATTCCAATTGTGAAGAAATTCGTTTTTAAACAATAACAACAACAAAAATATAATATAAATCCATCAATTGATTATATTAAATTAAGGTATATCATTTAGCATTCCCTTTATTTAACACATCAAACTTTTGAATTTTTTTTTATTATTATTTTATTTCAATTTAGCTTAATTTGTAACTAACTTTAATTTACTACTATTGAGATTTTAATAATTTTTTGAAAAAAGAACGAAAAAGAAAAGAACCCTCCAAAAATAAAATATCACATTCTAATAACATAATAAAATAATAATAATAATATCATAATACAAAATGGTTAAGATCGCTATTATCACTTATTCTACTTACGGTCACATTGACGCTATTGCTAGAGAAATCCAAAAGGGTATCAAATCCGCCGGTGGTAGTGCTGATTTGTACAGAGTTGAAGAAACTTTATCCGATGATGTTTTAGAATTATTACATGCTTCTCCAAAACCAGAAGACATTCCAGTCGCTTCTCCAGAAATTTTAACCAAATATGATGCTTTCTTATTCGGTTTACCAACAAGATTCGGTACTTTGCCAGCTCAATGGTCTGCTTTCTGGGATAAAACCGGTGGTATGTGGGCTCAAGGTTCTTTACACGGTAAAATTGCTGGTATCTTTGTAAGTACTGCCGGTTTCGGTGGTGGTCAAGAAAGTACTGTCAGAAACTCTCTATCTTACTTAGCTCATCATGGTATTATTTACGTTCCATTAGGTTACAAGAATGCTTTTGCCGAGTTATCTAACTTAGAAGAAGTCCACGGTGGTTCTCCATGGGGTGCTGGTACTCTAGCTGCTGCTGATGGTTCAAGAACTGCTTCTGACTTAGAATTAAGAATTGCCAACATTCATGGTAAGACTTTCTATGAAACTGCTAACAAGTTTTTCAAGAATGAAAAGCCAGCTGGTGAAGCTAAGAGAAATGTATCAAAGAAGGCTGAAACTAAGACTCCAGCTAAGGCTGCTCCAAAGGCTGAAGCCAAGACTGAAGCTAAGTCAGAAAAGAACTCTTTGACTTCATGTTGTGTATTAATGTAAGAATTTCTCAGATTGATCTCCAAGTTATCCTCATTTTTTGTAAGCTAGTTTTGTAATATTTGTCATTTTGTATGTATGAAAGATGACAAACTGAACTCTTAATAATTATATATATCTAATTTTAATTAATTATATTGAACAAATCCAAATAAAATAAAATTATTTCGAAGTAGGACTTAATTAATAAGTAAGAATAATACTTTTACTTATAAAGATAAATTATTGTGTCAAGTGTGATTGCAAAACTCCACTCAAGAACTAAGATTCTTGGCAATTAAAATGATGATAACATTTAATTAATGAATATTTAATTTTCTAATTAATATACATAATAAATGATGAATTTATCAAAAATGAATAATATTCACAATGGTATTTACAGGTTGCATAATATTTCAATTCTATTTATTTTCAACGGGCAAAGTCTTTATAGTACGCTTCAGATATTTATCTTTATTGTTTAACTTCTTTTCATATTCTGTTTCTTTCTTACCTGGATATATCAATCTTCTATCCAATTCTGATAATTCCTGTTCTTGTATTGGGTCCTCCACTTTTTTGTTTGTATGAGTTTTCCAAATATGACGAATTTCTTGAACACAATTTGTACACAAGGTATTAGCCAATTTATAATGACCGCAAGATGGACATCTATTCAAATGATGTTGGAATTTTAGTTGTTTTTTACCTGGTGCGTATAATCTTTGTCTCTTCTTCTGGTGGGAAACTTTCTTCTTGGGTACTGCTAATAACATACCACCATTGGAAAAAATATCCCAATTATTTGGTTCAATGGTATAGCCACCAGGCAATGCCAATCTTCCACTTTCAACAGACCATATTTTAGAAACGGTATTCACCAAACTATTACATGTTTCAGTCAAAGTAGTTAGCTTGTTAGCGTTGAATAATGATTTTATTACAGACATGGTTAATGATCAAATGCTATAATTAGTCAATTAAGTCTCTCTAATTTTATGATCTCCTAAACTGTTAGGAATATTATCAATTGTAACTCTATTAGATCTCAAATTCATGTATATTTTAAATCTCTTCTATCGAAGATAATTGTTGACCTTTCTTAAAATATAAATGGTTTTCTGAAATTTTTGAAGTAGTTCGAAGAAATTACAGTATCACCAAAATCACTATTAACGAACATGAAAATTTATATTTAAAGTGACATAATAAACCCATCAATAGCTAAAGGAATAAAAAGCTGAATAACAGTTTAAACATATATGTGAAATTATCCATCATATTGATCAGTAAAATATGATGATTATTAAGTATTATTCCCACTTAATTAATAGTGATCTTTATAAAAGTTCGTTAAAAAAGGGGAAGAAAGAGAAGAAATAATTTTTATATTAAGGTATCTTATAGATTCCTGGAGAAAAGGACAATCAGCCACTAAAATATTATTCAATTAATTTTATTATCAATATCAGAAAAAAAGCATGGAATAAATAATACGTTTCTTAATTGAAAATTAGTTTCTTTCTATTACCAGAACCTTCATCTTTTAAAGTCATTAGAATCAGCAAAATCCCTGTAATGACACTAGAAATTACATTCGGAATTCACTTAATTATGACAAATATTCTTGGATTAATTTCCCCTACACTATCATAATCAGCAACAAATTGTAAAGCAATAGCTGTATGGAACTTGTATTGTTTTAATCATATATCTTACTTGTGAGTTAGATTTTACATCAAAATTAAAAGTACTAGTGAGTCAGTGTAATTTAAAAAATTGCGTACAACCTATCTCAGACTTCTTCTGAAATAGAAAAATTTGATATTCTGAACTTATTAAATGATTATGTTATTAGAAAATCGATATCATATAATATATCTACAACAAACTTATTTGGGGTCAAATGTTTAGAAAAACTACTTCGAAATAATTTAACTATCTGGAATTATTGCATATTTTATTATTGATTGGTAGTATTCAAGAAATAGACAACCATATAAAATAAAGATACGATACCTAAGTTTTATTTTACAATTAAGTATTAATAATAATCTCCTGCTTTATTTTTTAACTAATTAATGGAACTTAACTTCACATTTGCAATAATAGATTGCGTATCCGTCGCTGCTATTTAGTAACAATATACACTTGCACCTCCCTCTACTTTATATAGTCCTAATAATCTAAAAGTCTAAAGTATCTTTAAGATCAAAGCTATTAAATTAAGATCGAAAAATAGCTATATTCTACTTAAACAGACTCTCTATTTTTTTTTGGAAGGATTTATTACATCGTCTCTCTATGTCTGTGAAGAAGGCACTTTCATTAAAATGACACCAAGATAACCAACATATTAGAAATCAACAAGACCGCTTGCCAACTCTATTAAAAAATCATGACAAATTACTAAAGATTCTGTAAGTGAAACTAGTGAGTATTCTATAGACTAATATTTCAGCTTATATAAGGGTCTTGTTTATCAATAATACATACTTTGTACCTGAACTCTAAAAGATCTATAATCATTCCTTCCAAGCAATAATTTTAGTCAGATTCATAAATTCCTACTAATGTAATCAGAGGCTTACCAAATTCGTGAGGAAGGGGTGGAGAGGGATAAAGATTTTCTATATCTGTGAAGTTTGAGGATGTTAAACTGTAAGTCTAATGACCGATGAAGGTGCCTTTTAATTATCCCTCTTAACAGACTATTTTCTAAAGTAAATAATCCAAACTGATAATCCAAACTAAATTTTGAGGGCGCATACCACTATGTAGTATCTGTGGTCAGTGTTGCAGTAATAATACTGTGCTCTCATATGATTTTGTAAATACAGAATTGTTTTTTCCAGGTATCGATATGAGTACAATTTGTATATATTTGTGACACTATTTTTAAATTCTGGATTAAGTTTAATATTTTATAGATATCCATTTCCAAATTAACTGTGGAAAGATTTCTTTGGTTACCAAAATTGACAATATAGATTAACGTTTCCCGAAATGCTTTAAAAGGTAAACCCAAAGATTGACAAGTCGGGTGACACATATATTTTACTATTCACAAATTATCTTGAAATGCAGAAAATATACAGATTGTAGAGTAAAAGGGATCTATTCACAAATGATAAGGTATGGTTATTATCTTTTGAAGCCACTTTCAAAATGATATATACTATATAATTTCTAATATATAAATCAACTAATAGTGTATTAAATAGTATAACACTCCTTGAATGAGGCATATATCACTTCACATAAAAAAAGCCTATTAAAAAATGTTTATTACTTGTTATTCAAGCCATTAGATTGATAATATTTTTGTTTATGGAACAGCTAATCCACATATACTATGTTCTGGGTCCGTTATTATTCCTATTTGACTGTCTTTTCTTTTTAGTTGAAGGCCCATCATCTCTTGTTGTATCTAACATATAGTTCATCAACCCTTGTCTATCCACAATTGCAAGATGAGGCTGACGATGACGATTTCTCTTCGAATGCGGTAAACCTGAAGGTATTTTAACCGTTTTCTCTGTCCTTTTGGCGATTCTGGCCTTTACACGTTGTGATAGAGCTGGTATTTTAACTGCTTTCTTTGCTCTTTTTGCAATTCGGGACTTAACAGGTCGTACTGCAGGTGGTTCATCATTATTATCAGAGTCTGAAGAAGACATTTCAATAGATACATCGTTTATAATAAATCCATCTGAATTTTTTGCAAATTTGAATTTAGCTACTAGAGATTTCTCCATTTTCTCATGAATATTGGCAGGAAGTTTAAATTTCGTTAGAAAAAATACCATATCCTCTACTGTAGTGAATTGTGCAATTTTCCCATATTTGTATATCAGTACCTTTTCCAAAAGTTGCTCTACAAGACGATGGTTCTCTGGTGTCGGATCGCTTTCCAGTAAAAAAGCATTATGCTGTGATATATGTTTTATTACTTCTGGATTGACATAATTCTTTAATTGTTCCTCTGTAAAATCGTTGCAAACAGTAACAACAGCTTGGACTATTGTAAAATATTCACGAAAGCGCTGATGTCGATTTGAATCTCGTTCATTCATTAACCGGAAACTTCTATCCTCAATTAAAGCGTTCTGCTTATCAGAGACTTTTAATACCTGAAGTAGGCCTTTCAGGTTACCTTGGGAGTTGGTGCACGGTGTATAGATGGGTGTTCATAGTTAAAGGCAGCAATGTTATTTAGTTCTTTTGATGTTATTAAATCATTCAATTTTAGCCTTTCAACTTCTTCATCTGGCAATACTTGATCAGGGAAACACTTCTTAACAATTTCATGTATGACATCCCACGTACTTAGACCCTTAATGTTACTGTAATCAGGGGTATTATTTGTTGGCATATTAGCTATATTGTTAAAATCTGTTCCATTCATTGTAACTATAGGACAACACTAGCTAAATGTAGTTACTCGTTATTGGAACTTTTAACGAATAATATGACAAGGTTCCTTGATCTGGGTAATAGTATAAAATATGCTTTAATTAAGTGTCTGTTATTGACATACAAGTGCTATAAATGTAGTTATTGTTATAGAATACAAGAAATCGATATTTTCTCCTTAACCAAGAACCATCAAGAAAATGTGTACCATAATAAATATTTAAGAATATAAATCACAACTCTATATCGCCAGCGATCAGATTTAAATAGAGGAACTTTTAATGGCTCTTTTATAGATCTCCTGGAGGAGGAGGGGGGATAATATATATATATATATATATATTTATATATATGTGGTGTCATCATGAGTTTCACTAGCTGCATGAATATGGATATACTCATGTATGCAACTGTCACTTATGCTTACGCGCCGTCATTCAATTTATGTTTGAATGTTGTGATATTTTGGTAGCGAGATATGTCACTTCATTCGGCGTAGGGTAAACTTTTGTAAGTGCTAACATTATCTTATTGTCTGTTAGAATAAGAATATTAACTAATAATCAATTTTAATGTCTGTATTTTGAAGCCAAAATATCTAAACTTCAAATTTCTTGATCGAAAATAAAAGTAGAAGATAAGGTACGTATTTAATTAAATATGCTAATTGTTTAATTGAATATGGTCAATTATTTAATTGTAAATCACTGACCACGAACATACCAATATTCACTGTGATCTCAATCAATAAAATATTGGATATCTTATATTTAAACCAATTTATTCGGTTCGGATTCATTAACAAAACCTAATATTTTATTATCAATAAGTTATTAAAGTTTTAAAATATTATTTTGTTAATTATAGGTATTTTAATTTAATCAGCTGATATTTACTAAATATTATCGTGATACAGTTTTTATTTATATACTTGTATTTTTATTTATTACTTTCTACACAATATCTTATGGAATTTATTATTCTAAATCTTCATCTAAATCAGGTAATGGATACTTTAATATGCATGCAACACCAGTTAGCTTATTCAACTCTTCACCAGAGCTGTGTAATTCACTAAAGACAAATACATTACCCCCAAGTTTCTCAACGTTATCAACCAATTCCAAGAACTGTTTTCTTTTTGAGACATCGTCAGAACGTAGCATTGTATCAGTAATAAGAAGTGTTTCAATTGCACCCATTTCAGCAGCCTTAAAGATTTCTTGCTCACCGTACCAAGCTTTGAAATCATCGTCATTTAAATGCTGTAAAAATTCGTCTATAATAATGGCCTCTTTTGTATATTTTGTGTCACGTAGCAGAGTTGAATAGGAAGGATTTTTCAACACTTCTGATATGCCTTGTAAGTATCCAGTAGAGCTATGAGCAACTAGAAATTTGGATTTATTATTAAGAACTGTCTTGTTTTGTTCTTCCTGAGAGTATTGAATGATTTTTTCAAATAATGTTTTAGCATAGAATCCTGGAGAACATAGAATAATGATTTTCAATTTATCAAAATCAAAATTCTTCTTTATTGCTTCATATGTAGCTTTATAGAATTTCTCAGTCTTATCATCGAATTTTAGGACATCTGTGGACCTTTTCTTTTTTGGCATGCTGTATTCAATTTTTTGTTTCAAAATTGTCGAAGAATTTGTAAGTAAGCAGACATGTGAAATACCTTCCTGTAACACAACAGCTGCTGTATCTGATCTCAATTCAGTATGGCAAGCTTCATTTAAAATTTTTTCTTCATAATGATTAAAATCTTCTTTGATAATTGTAAAAGGATAAGTGTAACCTATATCAAAACTAAAATACTTCCCAACAGGTATATCGATATTAGCTCTTTCTGTGTCATCAGTTACTGTTACACCCTTATATCTTAATGATTCACTTTTCATATCGAATTCACTGGAAATGATTTTTAATCTTAATAAGACTAAGTCTGTACTTTTCTTCTTCCCAGATTCATCTAATTTTGAAGTGATCATCTTCTTGAAAATCACATCATCATCTTTATTTATAATCTGATAGATAGCAAACAGATCTTCTTTGTCTTGTGGAAGAAGAGAAATTGTTGTTTCTTTACCATCGGTAGATGCCTTTGTTAAATTTAATAACTTCATTAGAGCTCTGGACTCGTTCAATACCTATAATCCACTTTGGAAGATATATGTATATAGAATTGGGAAATACTATCGAGTAAAATTATACTGGCTACTCAGTTGTAAACAGTTTATACATTCTCTTTCTTCAATGCTTGAAACTTTTCATATTATATTTTTTAATTTTTTTCTTAGTCTCATTCATTTTCCGGGAACAATGTGAAAAGCAAAATATAGTTAAGACTAAATGCCTGATTTTAAGGTCTGGATATATGTCTATGAAGAAAATTGAGACCCAAAGGTCAAAGGGAATTGAAGTCAATTTGAATTCAATAGAATTATCCATGAGCATTAAGTGAAATTCACTTATTAATTGGAAATGTATAAAAAATATTAGATTAATAAGGAATTAATGAATGAAAAATGCAATATACATATTTATTTATTTAGTGGTTTAAAATATAATATATAGTATTACAATTATTTAGAACTTTTAGTATATTTTTTCTTCCCTATATCTAATGGGATATAGTTGTACTTGATCATATGTTGAATTTGTCTTCTCATAGTTAAGAAGAATAATAAAATAAAGTAAGCTAATAGAATTGGCCAAAAGACAGGTAGGTCAAAAATACGGAAAAATGAAAGAATTATTGAGATAAAAGTGGCTCTAGCACTATTATACCAAAATTTGAATTCAGGCAATCTTCTAATAAATGGACGAAATTCTTCAGATCTTTCACCAGCTTCTAGTTCTTTGTTTGCCTCATCCTGTTGTAAAGAAACATCAAATTTTGGTGTTAAAAAGGCTAAAAATTGGTTTAATAAAAATATACCTAAAGCATAACATACAACATACCACCCTTGGGCATATATGACACGCAGCAGGAAAAGAATGATTGCAACACCCAATCCTGCCCATCTGCCCTTGATATGAGGTGTTGATTTATCAACATAATATCTATAAATGTTCTTAATCTTATTAAATTGCACTACAATAGCATTAGAAGATGTTTCTTCTTGGATATCCTCTTGGTAATCCATATTTCGATCAATTAATATAATATAAGTTTACCCTTGTTGTACTTTTGGTTTATAACTTGAAAGTAACACTAGAACTCTATATAAGTGAGTTTTCAGGAAACTAAAACTAATTATATATTTATCTACATATATACATATATAAAAATATAAATATAAATGTTAATTTTTTGTATGTATCTTATTTCCAATGCTTGGTAACGGCTACGTTATATTTTATATCTAAATTACCAAATTAATATAAACATATAATACCAGTTCGTTTCGTATATCTAACAAAATAGCGTGGAGGAGGCTCCACCAAACAATTATGATGTTTTCGAACTCGAAAAGAGACAGAGAGAGACCGAGAGACCGAGAGAGAGACTACAATTTTTTCATACAATCTAAGCATTGTGCTTTACTACACTGTACTATTATCCCATCCAACTGAAGCAGAGGAAGAAGAAAGGTGAAAAAAAATAAAAAAAAAAAAAGATTCTTAATTTGGAAAAATTACGTTCGAAACAATAATCAATTGAAATTGATTCGAATTCGAATTAAAGGTTTGGATTTGATTCAATATCAGTTTCTCTGCAACTTGGTAATCTAATTGTAAGGTTTGTATATTTACTGGCAGATGGAAGCCTTTGACTCAGATGAGTTAGAGTAATTACGAGAATTTAAGGTTTAAGAGGAAATGAAATGGAGTTAGTTTCCCGAATCGATTCTTATTGGGCGGTGGACTAAGAATTTCAGAGTATTGATTAGTCTCTCTCTTTAGATTTCTGAATTTATTACTTATTTATCACAATATTGGATTAAAGCAAAAATAATCGACTTAGTTTACATTTTGAAAACTGGTTTTGATAGAAGGTATTTATATAAATGAAAATATGGAAATAGAAATACTGATACAATCCACTTCTAAGGTTATCTTTGTATGTCTGATTTAATTATTATTAAACATAATTATGCGATGATTCCTATTTTTAGTCATTCATGAATAATTTTAGTCAATTATTTCTTTGGAAATTCAAAAAATTAATTATTAAAGTTTGATGGAAAATTGGATATATATTTATAAAGCGTCACTAATACTAACAATAAATATTTATTAAAAGATAATCGCCATATTATATCAATATCGTTACAATAGATTACATCGATCGATATACGGACTGTCGTATGACATGTATATATTGTCATTGATTAATTGTTTTCTGTCGATTTGGTGTACGTTAAATTATAAATTTTCACCACTTATAAGACAGCAGTTAGGAAATCGATATCCATTATTCTATTCAATAGATGACAACTCAGATATACCCATTTCTCTGGCATTGCTTATTCTCGATATAACGACATTGTTTATTTCATTGTTTGTATTAAGGCAACTTATAATGTACCGATCATCAAAGCATGTACATCAGGGCATCTCAAAGTTTTGCATTTCAGTGATACTTCTATTTGCCATTTTTAATGTTTTCACTTACACATGCGCATGTTACAACTTGCCAATATCTTCAGGACGTTTTGGTGTCTTTTACCTTGAACATATAAACTATATGTGGGTGGAAGGAAATCTGCTTGGTTCATTTATTTTGTTACCTCAGATATCATTGAATTGGATGGGTCAATCAACAACAGGGTTATCATCAAAGTTTGTTGTATTGAGCTTTATTAGCATATTAACAAATTTGTTAGGATCAAATTTGGCACCACAGAATTTATTGTTTTATGAGAGGGCGTTTAATTTTAAACCGAATTTTGTACAAATAATTCAGTTTTTATCTATCATCATTATTCTATCACAAGCACAATACTTCTATAGAGGTCTAAAACCTCATCTTCCAAAGGGAAAGTCCTTTTTGTAATTAACTGGATCAGAGATATGAACTATTTACAACGTACTCGTTTTAAGTAGATATATATACATAAATATTGGCTACTAATTTATATTAGGATAGGCATCTCATTATAACTTATCACCAAGAATTGACGTCGCAAGTTTAACTCCAACACCAATATTTCTTGAAGGATCTGTTTCAAAATCATGTAATGTAACAAGCTCTGTATTTTCTAGAAGGTTATTTATTTCATTTCGTAGTTCTAGTCTTAAATCGTTATCTTTAGTTACAACAATGGCATTTGATTCTAAGTCAAGTGAATAAGCTCTTTTGGTATAATTAGATGAACCTATAATTGTTGCAAATGGTAAATACGAATCACCCCTTTTTTCAGAAAGCCAAAGTCCTTTTGCATGATATGACCAACCATTAGGTTGATTTACGATTCCCTTTTTCCATTCTCTTAATTGAATCATTTCTTCCCTTCCAGCTTTTCTTGTTGATAGTAGGAACTTCTTTGAAAGGTGTAAGTAAGCTGCTGGCAAATTAGATGATACACCATGCGATTGATAAAATCCATTAGCATAAGGAGATGCGGTTATGACTGTGCCACTTGCGACATTTGTTGATAGAAGTTTTTGCTTTATTTCAGGATGCATATTAAAATAGCCTGTTGTAAATGTCCAACTCAATGATGGATTTGACACATTTGTAAGAAGGCTTAAGATGCTAGGTTTTTCCGTGGACTTGTCATTATACTTTTTAAAGAGAGGGGTGAATTGAGATACAGGGTAAACTACCGTTGGGTATTCTTCAATATTAAAAATTATTGATATTTCTCCACCGCAAATTCATTGTTTTTCTCAACCAAAAACTTTTCCAAAGCTTTAGATGAATCCCTAATAAATCTTCTTTTGCTTGATGTTGGTTCATTTGCAATATTTGACTTTGGCCACAGAAGCTTAAATTTTTGCTGGTTATTACTATATTTTAATTGATAACTAAGTGAACTTATTAATTGGTGTAGCTTAAAATAATAGTTCGAGAACATTTCTGACTTAAAAATGAAATATCTATCCTGACGATTCGTAAAATAGTCATCAGATAAATTTGCACCAGAAAGCATAACTTCGTTATCGAAACCATATATTTTCATATGTTGTAATCCTAAACCCTCATTAAACCTGTTTGGTATTAACGCTTTCTTAATACCTCGATATGTGGGTGTTTTATATAGTCTAATGTCTACTCTATCTTCATGTTTTTTTACTAATTGAGCCAATAGTTGAGCAGAACATTTTGAAGGACTCTCTCTTGTACCTCTTAACCCATCGAGAAGGAAATAGACCTTTAAGTCAGGATTTTTATCCAATGCTTTCATCATACAATCAACAAGTTCATCTTCAGATTTCCCAACATATAATGTAGCCAAAAATATTCGTTGTTTTGCAGTAGATATTTTATGTTTTAGAACATCATAAAATGTAGAAGGATTGTGTAAAATCTCAATTTCTCCCTTTCTAAAGAAAAACTTCGTATTTAGAAATGATAATTTATCTTTAATTGTATCTGAAAGGCTAGAAGATTGTGACATCGATCTAATACCACGTTGGGGGTAAGCTTTATATCCTGTGATAGAAATCGTCCTTGCTAAATAAGGAAGTATTGCAACTTGACGAAGAATTACCATAAAATTGATTCCATTACCTGTAGTTACGATGAAGAATAAAAAGATACAGATATATTATTATTGAAAAGCTTATCAGTATACATACTCACTTATACTACAGGTTAAAATTAAGTTCCTATTTAAACAGATCTTAATCTCTACTATCAACATCATCTTACAATTGTCGTAATTTTAGTTGATATTGATAATATCGTCAGTTTCGCGGAACTAGATTTGTGAGAAATACAAAATATAGCGATACTAACTTAGATGAGAATATTCGATGTATTTTAGTCACATAAAAAAAAATTAAGGTTGAGCAAGGTAAAGGTTATAATTGAAAATAGATAGGTTACAACATATTCAAAAATAGGGGGAATAGTTTTGATCAGTAATAGTTACAAAAAAAAATTAAATACAAAAGAAGAACAATTTTATGTTTTACAGCAGTAGAGGCTAGAGACGTCAATGATTATTATAATAGTAAGTATTGGATGTAATTCTATTTCTCTTTCAATCAACATTCCAGTCATGCATGGATAGAATTTTAAGAGTATATATGAGTAGCTTTTTTGGTAGTTTAAAAATCTTATATAATTTTAATAATTTTAATAATTTTAATAATTTTAATAATTTTTATAAATTTCTTTGAGATACAGTTGAAAACAGGGAAAGAAATCTTTTTATTCAGAACAAACTAACTATTGAACTTTTACTACGAAGATATTTTAAAAAAATAATACTAATTTAATATGTAGCCAATCGATTGAAAATTCTATTGAATCCTCGAATTTATATATATCTCAAGATTAGTGGCCTACTATTATCTTGGGTAAGTTTTGATACTAACAATCCCACTTCCAGTTGATTTGAAAAATTACCGATATTGTGTATTAAATTTTGATTGTTTCAGTGGTATATTTGAGTTAAATCATAAAATTCCAGATAATTTTGTTCATTTTTCTTCTGACATATTGCCTTTTGATTGGAAAAGGCACAGACGTTGTTAGTTAAAAATATTCATATGTTAATATTGGAGTAATATACAATAAACATTGATGTGATGGATTGCTCTCTTGGATATTTTATTGTTACTAGGATATAAAATAAAGTTTTTTAATTTCTATAAAAAATTAAGTTTTGCTTCATTTTTTAATTGTTTATTTCAAAAATTATACAAATGGCTTCAATGTGTATTTTGAAAAGACAACTCTCTAGCAATTTGTAAAATTTCTTGAGTTTAAATGTATTATGGTGCGTTTAGTTCAAAACATTACTATATTCAGTTATATTGTACAACCGAGACATTAGTACGATATGATACTTACTTTAGTGATATTATTCATACTCTTACTCCATTAGTATAAGCAATCCTATGATGTTAGCCAAATTAAAAATCATGGAACCAGATTCAATACTTTAGATTTAACATGTTAGAGAAATTAGTTTCATTCAATAATACAGTCATTAATTCAATTTTAAAAAAAATTGGAAAAATAGAGTAATTTAATATACGTAATATGTAATATCTATGGGTGCTATTGGTTAGTTTATCCAGGATTTAGCATTTTTAGGATTAACCTAACCTTATATGATTTCACTTCAAATAATTATTACCTGATTCTTCGAGTATCAACTTAAAGTCCATATTTTATTAGGAGCCAAATTTTTTTTCTTGAATGTCACATATAAGAATATCCCTAGTATTTAAGGGTCAACTTTATATACATTCCGGGATGTAATCTAGAAACCTCTATAATAAATATATAATAGTGGTAAATATTGTGATTTCAAATGTTTATGTAAACATAATGTATTCTAGAAGGCACTCTTATCTCAACTTTCGTTTATGACGTTAATGACATCATGTTAGCGAATGCCGCCGCTCTAAATATGCTTTAGGTTAAGAAACTACTCTGTCTGTTGTTCAGTAAGGTTGAAGAAAAAGATTTTTTCTCATTCTGAATTCTATGCTGTTGCATCGTTGAAATAAAACTGCCTTCCAGAAATGTGAATTACTCAATGTAAGAAACGAAAATTACAGAAAACATTTTCCCATAAAATATAATCATTACAGGATATATAATCATTACAGGATATATAATCATTACAGGATATATAAAATTTCACAATTATTGTCTTCCACAGTGATTATCATTATCAGTGAGTTACAATTTAGTCATCTTTCTGAAGTCGGATACCAGTAGTTCTAATGGTTTCTACTTTTAAAAAAACAGAGCTAAGAAATCTGGATCACATAATCATAGAAGAAATATTCTCTCATCTACAATCCCACACTTTCGATATTACATGAAATTTATTGCCAAGTATCAATAAATATTATAATCACTAAAATTAATGATCAATTAACTGTTGTATCTAAATTAGAGAAAGTGAACTACTTTCTATCCTTTTTAACTAAAAAGACTGCAAGAATTCAATGTTAGCTGGCTAACTAATAACCAATATTGGGACGAACTGTTCCTTAAGGAAAAGAATAAACAAATTTTAGAAATTTAAAAATTCTGAGAACAAATCGGATTCAATAGGTATAGAATTTAGCTAATAATTTATTTAGTTAATCAATTGCAGGGATCTATAAATGATATAGCGCTATTGCTGGGTTGAAAACCCATATTTTGTAAATGAATTATACTGTATTGATTTAGGTGGTGTTTTAAAAGTATATTTAGTGTCATCTGGAATACTTTTCGATATACTTTTTCATATGGTGTTCTCTATTTTAACTTTTTACTCCCTATTTATATCTCTTGTTATATTTTGTTGGAACTCAAAGTTGTTTCAATAGCTACTCATACTTAAATTGGTACATGTAGGGACTAAGCCGCTAGAAACCATATCCAGTATTAGTGATTAAGGCGACCCGCCAATTACTAATGGTCTACATGAAGTGAAAAGATTTCTCGAAATATTTGACATAAAGATATAGGCCAAATATTTACATTTGAAATTTGGAATAATTATGTATTTAATTTAAGATATGTTTTCCTATTAGAAGGACAAGGGGAAAATTCACACATATCAAACATATACTGTCAGAATTATGAGGTAACACGTGATCTAAAACGTATTACGACATTATTCATATAGGATAAAGAAATGTTACTTTACACGAAAGTATTACTGACGCTGAAAACTTTTCCAACACTGTATATAAGAAATGATGAGATCTTAATTGATACTTATCATATGTACTATATTCCCAGTAGTATATTTTATACTTTAATACACCGGATCAATATCAACTTATTAAAAAATTGTCAGAATTATGAGGTAACACGTGATATAAACGTATTACGACATTATTCATATAGGATAAAGAAATGTTACTTTACAC